TTACACAAGACATGACATAACCAAGTATACATGAATGAGGTGAGTGGAGTTCCTGCTCAACCTCAGGGCGTTTCCTATGAGCAGCATTATCCTGCACAGATCATTGGAATACCGAACTCCTTGACAATATAGATGTGAGCATATTTATACAGTATTTGACAACAATGGACAAGTGATAAGGATTAAGAATGCAGATTTAATAAGTACAATTAAGTGTCACATGGCTTGGCTACACAGTTTTGGTTTTAGAATATTTGGACGATGGCTGTCCTGAATTAGATGCTATAAGAATAGAATCGGCCTTCAGCATCCCATTCTTCTTGTGATAGATGACTAAAATGGTAAGGTGGTCAGGCTTACTCTCTGTGTGCTCCATGTATGTAATTGTATCATATTTGTGAAGATAGACACATGTTCTGCAGTGGAATTGAAAACTAAACTAACTAAATACGAAGTTTTGAAATCTACTATTCAGGGAACTAAACATGACTCTCTTTGTTAAGCTGATGAAATAATTCATGTAATAAAAATGGAGAACAGAACGTGAATCTCTGTCAACAAATACAGATGGGGCAAGAAACTTAATATGATACCTTAAAGTCTACACTATCTAGCTCTATTGCAGCTGGAGCGGTGGGGTAGCCTTGTGGTAAATGCATTCGCTCGTCACGCCGAAGGCCCGGGTTCTATTCCCCACATGGGTACAATGTGTGCAGCCCATTTCTGGTGTCCCCCGCTGTGATAATGCTGGAATATTGCTAGAAATCCAACTCACTCACTCACTGTATTGCAGCTATATACTACTCAAAGTTTGCTAGGGATCACATTTGCAAGTCAACATGGAATTATGATATGAAGTCAGTATTGGATTAAATCCCAATGATTGGAGCAACACTACCACATAAAGCAGGGAAAGCTTGCTGTGACGGACACGATATGCACGTGATGCATGGTCACCACAGTTTCCTCCGTTCTGATGTTTTTATCATTGCAACACTGTACCCGGTTTCTCAGAGCAAGACAAGCGTTTATTGTAATTACTGAAAACAGAAAGTGTCCCCTCAAAGGCAACGTCATTGTTTGACAGTCGAAGAATTAGCCAGATCCCCCAGGATGCTTGAAAGTGGAACTAGACAACGTCATGTTGCCAACATCCTTGGTGTGAGTCAAAGCATGGTCTGCAGGGTTGGAATCGGTATCAAACTCAGCTACCCAGCGACCAGCCAGCGTGATGACCAGTTTTTCTTGCTTTTGGCAAGATGTCATCACTTTGTGATGGCAACCACGCTACGGAATGAACTGCAGAATGCCACTGGATAATGTTTCTACTCAGACAATCCGTAATCATCTTCGAAGGCTGGTCTTTGGTCAAGGAGAGCATAGATTTGCATCCATTTTACATGGCATCACTGGCAAGCATGTTTGGAGTGGGCAACAGATCATGTTAATTGGACAGTCAATGACTGCCCATCTGCACTCTTCATTGACGAGTCCAGATACTGTGTGGACTTCACCGTTCGACGTGCATGGGTGTGGTGAAGAGCAGGAGAGCGATTTTATGATGTTAGGGTAGCAGAACATGACAGATGGGGAGCTGGCTCATTAATAGTTTGGGGAGGTATCAGTAGGGCTGGGAGTTCTGATCTCCATTAATAGTTGGGGAGGTATCAGCAGTGCTGGGGGTCCTGATCTCCATTAAAAGTTTGGGGACGTATCAACAGGGCTGAGAGTACTGATCTCCATTAATAGTTCGGGGAGGTAACAGCAGGACTGGGAGTTCTGATCTCCATTAATAGTTTGGGGAGGTATCAGCAGGGCTGGGTGTTCTGATCTCCATTAATAGTTTGGGGAGGTATCAGCAGGGCTGGGGTTCTGATCTCCATTAATAGTTTGGGGAGGTATCAGCAGGGCTGGGGTTCTGATCTCCATTAATAGTTTGGGGAGGTATCAGCAGGGCTGGGGTTCTGATCTCCATTAATAGTTTGGGGAGGTATCAGCAGGGCTGGGGTTCTGATCTCCATTAATAGTTTAGGAGGATCTATCAGCAGGGCTGGGGTCCTGATCTCCAATAGTTTGGGGAGGTATCAGCAGGGCTGGGGTGTTCTGATCTCCATTAATAGTTTGGGGAGGTATCAGCAGGGCTGGGGTTCTGATCTCCATTAATAGTTTGGGGAGGTAACAGCAGGGCTGGGAGGGGTACTGATCTCCATTAATAGTTTGGGGAGGTAACAGCAGGACTGGGGGTACAGATCTCCATTAATAGTTTGGGAGGTAACAGCAGGGCTGGGGAGTACAGATCTCCATTAATAGTTTGGGGAGGTATCAGCAGGGCTGGGAGTACAGATCTCCATTAATAGTTTGGGGAGGTATCAGCAGGGCTGGGAGTACAGATCTCCAATAATAGTTTGGGAGGTATCAGCAGGGCTGGGGTTCTGATCTCCATTAATAGTTTGGGGAGGTATCAACAGGGCTGGGAGTACAGATCTCCATTAATAGTTTGGGGAGGTAACAGCAGGGCTGGGAGTTCTGATCTCCATTAATAGTTTGGGGAGGTATCAGCAGGGCTGGGGTACTGATCTCCATTAATAGTTTGGGGAGGTATCCAGCAGGGCTGGGAGTACAGATCTCCATTAATAGTTTGGGGGGGAGGTAACAGCAGGGCTGGGGTTACTGATCTCCATTAATAGTTTGGGGAGGTATCAGCAGGGCTGGGAGTACTGATCTCCATTAATAGTTTGGGGAGGTATCAGCAGGGCTGGGAGTTCTGATCTCCATAATAGTTTGGGGATCTACAAGCAGGACTGGGGGTCCTGATCTCCAATAATAGTTTGGGAGGTATCAGCAGGGCTGGGAGTACAGATCTCCATTAATAGTTTGGGGAGGTAACAGCAGGGCTGGGAGTACAGATCTCCATTAATAGTTTGGGGAGGTAACAGCAGGGCTGGGAGTACAGATCTCCATTAATAGTTTGGGGAGGTATCAGCAGGGCTGGGAGTACTGATCTCCATTAATAGTTTGGGGAGGTATCAGCAGGGCTGGGAGTTCTGATCTCCATTAATAGTTTGGGGAGGTATCAGCAGGGCTGGGAGTACAGATCTCCAATAATAGTTTGGGGAGGTATCAGCAGGGCTGGGGGTTCTGATCTCCATTAATAGTTTGGGGAGGTATCAGCAGGGCTGGGAGTTCTGATCTCCATTAATAGTTTGGGGAGGTAACAGCAGGGCTGGGAGTACAGATCTCCAATAATAGTTTGGGGAGGTATCAGCAGGGCTGGGAGTACTGATCTCCATGTGAGAGGCACTATGACAGGTGTGCGATACGGGGATGAGGTATCAGCAGGGCTGGGGTTCTGATCTCCAATAATAGTTTGGGGATCTACAAGCAGGACTGGGGGTCCTGATCTCCAATAATAGTTATAGGAGGTATCAGCAGGGCTGGGAGTTCTGATCTCCATTAATAGTTTGGGGAGGTATCAGCATGGCTGGGGAGGTACAGATCTCCATTAATAGTTTGGGGAGGTATCAGCATGACTGGGAGTACAGATCTCCATAGTTTGGGAGGTATCAGCAGGGCTGGGAAGTACAGGTCTGCGATAATAGGGATGGGAGGTATCAGCAGGGCTGGGGTTCAGATCTCCATTAATAGTTTGGGGAGGTAAGGGAGGTACAAGCAGGACTGGGGTAAGATCTCCATTAATAGTTTGGGAGGTATCAGCAGGGCTGGGGGTTCTGATCTCCATTAATAGTTTGGGGAGGTATCAGCATGGCTGGGGGTTCTGATCTCCATTAATAGTTTGGGGAGGTATCAGCAGGGCTGGGAGTACTGATCTCCATTAATAGTTTGGGGAGGTATCAGCAGGGCTGGGAGTACAGATCTCCATTAATAGTTTGGGGAGGTATCAGCATGGCTGGGGGTTCTGATCTCCATTAATAGTTTGGGGAGGTATCAGCAGGGCTGGGAGTACTGATCTCCATTAATAGTTTGGGGAGGTATCAGCAGGGCTGGGGGTTACAGATCTCCATTAATAGTTTGGGGAGGTATCAGCAGGGCTGGGAGTACAGATCTCATTAATAGTTTGGGAGGTATCAGCAGGGCTGGGGAGTTGAATAATAGTTTGGGGAGGTATCAGCAGGGCTGGGAGTACTGATCTCCATTAATAGTTTGGGGAGGTATCAGCTTGGCTGGGAGTACAGATCTCCAATAATAGTTTGGGGAGGTATCAGCAGGGCTGGGAGTACAGATCTCCATTAATAGTTTGGGGAGGTAACAGCTTGGCTTGGAGTACAGATCTCCAATAATAGTTTGGAGAGGTATCAGCAGGACTGGGAGTACTGATCTCCATGTGAGAGGCACAATGACAGGTGTGTGATACAGGGATGAGACCCTGGAAGTGTAGATGAGACTGTTTGCTGGTGCAGTTGGTCCTGATTCCATCCTCATGGACAATATTGCATGACCCCATCATGCCAGAGTGGTTGATGCTTACCTTAAGCAAGAGACAATCATCAGTATGGAGTGGCCATGGAACACATTTGGAACATGCTACAGGTTTCCATCTCATGTTGTCCTGTGTATCCTGGTTCTCTCCAAGACCTTGGAATTTCTCTCTGCCATGAGCCAAACAATCTTGCCTTGGCGTCCATCCAGACTCTTATCAGAAGCATGAGATGACAGTGCCAGGCTGTAACCGCATCTCATGGATTCTGTAACCACCATTGACAGTTGTTGTGTCATGGTCAGTGACTTGATCTGTGATTCAGAGATTTGTTGGTAGCTGTCGTATAAACCTAATTTTGATAACTGCCATTGAAGCTCATATTTTTTTCTACAGGCACCAATACCGGGAACAAGGTTTTACTCCCAAAAGTAAAACCATGGAAGAGGTTTTACTGGAGTACAGTAAAACTCCTTCCCAGGTTTTACTGGAAATAAACCCTCGAGCCAAAATAATTCAGTATGATTGATAGACTTTGTAAACCACTAAAACAAAAAAACAAACATTTCATAAAATTTCTTTAATGAAAATTAAAGGTCATTGTGACATTTCCGCGATCAAGCCATTGTGTTGTGCTTGATTCTGATTCAGGAGGGGGGACAGACACAGTCAGAGTGTTCGCTTTCTTTGGGTTTTCTTCGGTTTTTGGAACTTTGCAGGCCCACACATCTGAAGCCATTGTTTGTCACTTGTCCTTTTGTACAACCTCACTGCATCACTCCTGTGTCCTAGAATTAAAGCATTTCAGTTTGATATATTTTCAGTATAAATTTGTGCAAGAACCAAAATACATGTACTGCTTATAGGTGCAACCTTTACGGCGGCATCTAAACCTCATTTGACAGCCATAAAATCAAAATCTGTAATTTGAGTATTTCATTTTTCAGAATGTAAATTCGGCTCCTAATTCCACATTAATTTTGTACCATCAGATACCATACACGGGTAGCATCTTATCTTATACAGCACAAATTGTGGACAATGGTGTGACCAGACATACATGCCATATATCTTCCATTACATACCAGTTTGCTGACAGATCTGCTGCTCACTGACCTTAGCTTCTTACAGCCGAGTCGCAGCAGTGGACCGGAGTGAATGATTGGTTTTCTTACATGTAATTCCGGCCATGGCACAGATCCGCTTCACTGTTGTCTGTATGGTAGTGTGACCCATGGGCGATTCTAGATACCATTTTCTGTCCTTTGCTTTCTTCAAGTCATTGAAGTAGAAAGCATTTCTCGTGTTGAAGAGGGTGGACTGAAATATATATTGAGAGCTCTGCAAATTGTGTCAACATGAAAGGGGTAGATCTGAGAATATGTTTGAGTCTACAATGGTTTGAGATTACATAATATTACAAGTTTTTAAAATGGCGTTTCCAATTAAGATTGATGCAGTTTCTGATCGCTCACAAATACATTACACTTATTTCATAATGTTGTGGTTAGGAGCAACAAATATCTTTAATAAAAAGGCATAAATAGAAAACTTACCAAAGTAACTTGTACTTTTCAAATAGTCGAAGGTAGCATCTTTCTGGGTTCTCATGTTTTCATAGGCGCTGACCTTTTCTTCTGCACTTTACGCTCTTTTACTCTGCCGGGATTGGTTTTAGAAACATCCTCTGTGTGCTGCAAGTATCTACATCCGTTCTGGTCAGAGTGTGGCCCCTTAATCTGTGGGTTCTAGTGTAGTCTCAGACTGTGATGTTCCTTGCCACCTCGCAATGCAAAGTTTAACCCTAGCAAAACACAAATATCTCGTTTTAGTCTGTTCAAGTCTAGTAACAAGTCATGCATAGAGTAATTATTCTATTCTAATAAAAAAAAATATGCTGAGGGAAAGAAAGCACAAGTGTCCCCTTATTTTTTTATCCCCCGCAACGCGTTTTGTCGGGGGTATTAAAATGGACTCCGTCCGCGCGCGTCCGTCCGTCCGTCTGTCCGTCTGTCCGTGCACAATTGTCTTTTCCGGAGCAGAACTCTAAAACCGTTCAATATTTCTTCACCAAACTTGGCACATAGATAGATCTGGTGGTGAACTGGTGCCTTTTGGTAGTTTTGGAATTCTGAATAAAACATTTTTGGCGTTTCCATGGCAACAAGTTTGACTTAGCCTGAAATTGGTGGTAGTGCTCTTTTCCGGAGCAGAACTCTAAAACCGTTCACTATTTCTTTACCAAACTTGGCACATAGATTGGTCTGGTGGTGTACTGGTGCCTTTTGGTAGTTTTGGAATTCTGAATAAAATATTTTTGGCGTTTCCATGGCAACAAGTTTGACTTAGCCTGAAATTGGTGGTTGTGCTCTTTTCCGGAGCTGAACTCTAAACCCGTTCACTATTTCTTTACCAAACTTGGCACATAGATTGGTCTGGTGGTGTACTGGTGCCTTTTGGTAGTTTTGGAATTCTGAATAAAATATTTTTGGCGTTTCCATGGCAACAAGTTTGTCTTAGCCTGAAATTTGTGATAGTGCTCCTTTCTGGAGCAGAACTTTAAAAACCTTTCAATACTCTCCTTCCACTTTTCTATATACACACCTAAATATTTGACATAATCATAACTCGTAGACATAATTATCATGAAGAGTATTTTGCCATTGCGGGGGATATTGATGACTTTGTCTTCTTGTTCCAGGTTTCTTCACAAGCTATACAAAGCTTGTGAAGAAACCTTGGAAAAAAAAATAAAGGGGCACTTGTCCTTTCATGTGATCCCTTTTTTTTTTCCTTCAGTATAATAAACCCTTTGTACAGTAGACAATCGTACGGTTTATTAGGTGACTCAGATTTGTTTAAAAGAGATTAAAAATCCAGCGTTTTAAAGATAAAAACGTAAACCTGCTCACAAGTTAGATAAAGCACCTTGTCCAGTAGTAGTTGTGGATTGTCTTCGCCTAATGCTCCCTTCTCCCACAATGTATATTCCTAGTCTCTGGATATCACTTCTGTTGGTCTCCGACAGTCTGCACCCACACATCAGACCTTTCCCTCATGCATGCATCTAGACCTTTTCAACATTCGCTGAAATCATCATCATCCATATGGTTAAAAGGTGATCCACAAGTTTGAAGAGCTGAGGCTATTGCAGTAAAAGGCCATACACAGTAATAGCTGGATAGAACATAAAGTCAACTTGTCATAGAAGTAATAAGGTCATGAGTGTTTATTTTCAACAATCATCCCTCAACACTGATGATGAAATAGTAATATTGTCATCCATAGACAGTTGTCTTCACTCTTCTTGCCATCTTTTAAATACATTCTTGGACCAATCATTTTTATACTGAGTAGATTAAGGGATGCAGGTTTCCAATTTCTTCTTGATCTCTTCTTCAGTTAACGGGTCAGCAAAGCGAAAAGAGAAATCACACTCGTCATCATCGATTTTCTTGAATGTTGACTGTGTTAAAAGCAAAGTCTCATCCTCGTCGCTCATGTTAGAAGACATGGTTGGTAGTGAGCTGCACTAGCTAACCATGTGGTACATGACTGTGATGAAATCATGAAAATCTTGTGCACTTACAGTTCGTGTGTTTGGGCCAGCATTCACCAGCTTTCGCGGTATACAGGTTTCATGAATGTTTTTTTAATAAAGTTCTAAAACGGTTTATAAGCAAGAGAAAACTCCTCTCCTCAGTGTTGGTAGAGGATGTAAACCCATCGGTATTGGGAAATCCCTCCCCCTCCGCGGGTGTACATCCTCTACCAAAATCCTGGAGGCATGATTTCTCCTATAAATAATCACCTTTTTTTATGGCAGTCTCACCTTACCTGTCCATTATGTGTTAGTTTGGCCTCTTCATTAACACATGACAACAATTTCCTTTCAATTAAACATTTCTTTGCATGTTTTTGTCCATGGTTACTTGTATTTGTCAGCGAGATGTTTATTGTCATATTCTGAAAATATTCTTGGCAAACTTTGAGCAGTATATATATGGAACCTCTATTTCGATGAACTATCAAATTCTGTTGATGAGTCTATGTCCTACTTGGACTACCTATCAAGCGATTGAAGATGAAATGTCAGCTAAAATCAAGTAAGACACAAACTCTGTCTTCAGCCCAACGCACATTGGGTCAAACAGTGCATTGTCTGTTCTGGACTCTATACAGACTGGTCTCATACATATAGATGTGATACTAAACAACAAAACAGACAATTTAATTAACACATTTTTAGTGACAAAATATGATAATACATCTGCCTATATAAAGTAAGATGATGCATACTGAATATGTTTTAGTGAAAATGGAAACACGACATTTACAATGTAAGCCATCATGTATGTGTGTGACAAGTACTGTAGTGAATTCATACGTGTGAGTGTATCATTAGATATTGCTAAAATAGAAGATGAATATTTTTATGAACATCAAATTTCAGGCAAACTGTTTATAAATATAATCAAGGAATATCTGTGACTTACCCATAATAGCAAGTACTTCACTTGTTGTATTTAACGCAATCTGTTTGTCTTGTAACAGCTCTTCATAAAATAGTCCTCTGTGATAAAGTTGCAAATAAACAAAAACTAAATCTTATGATGGCAACAAGCAGTAAGTTATCCTCCACTAATGTACAGAGCATCCTTTGTTGACAAGCTGTGACTTCTCCAGTCTCTCCACCAGTAATACCAAGCACCTGTAGAGATAAAATTAGATAAATGCACCCATACTTCCAGTATAATTCTTTTGGTTTGATTGAACATTATGCCTGCGTATGTCCTTGAAAGGAAATAAAATGTCACCCAACTAATTGCTTTAGCCTGTGTTTCTGTGATCATTCCTTACACATAGTTGCAAGTCATACCTTATATATACCAAAGGTATGCAAAACATTTAAAATTGTATAGGTTCCTATCATTTCGCTATCTGGAAATTTAATGAAAATGTTTTATGACTGACATTTGAAACGTGGTTTGAAATAGTAAAGTGTCCACATTTATGACAAACATTGCCAGGGTGATGGACACTGACGTAAATGAGGGCATTTCAAGCAATACAAATACAATTCCAAAGGTCAAGAAACTGAATGTTTTTTAGACATTTGGGGGAATCTAACAATGTATTACATTCTAGTTAGGGCTGCTCATTTCAAAATTATTGCCTTTTTCAGTACGTTTTCAATGACAGTTTCCACAAAGCTGATAAACTGACAAAATAGTCATGGAGTACGTTTGCCAATGTGCTATAAATAGTGGAGTAGTTGGCAGTTACAGAGTAGTTGGTCATATTTACACCATCATATTAAAAGATTGGATATTCTACATTTGTGCATAATGTTATTGTCAGGGTTAGAGCCAATGCAAGTGTAATTCTCACCCAATGTTAACTTTTCAGATCATCTGAAAATACATACATTAAAAATAACTAGGTATCTTGGGGAATTAAGAAATTCTGAATTTCAGGATTGTTCACAAGAAAATGAAAAACCCCAAAATGTAAAATGTTTAGTCTGATGTTGGTCTACAGTCAGTCATAATATTTTGTTCTGCCTTCCATGAGAACGACACACTTCTTGGCTAATACAGTCAGAAGATGTGCACATTACTGGAAACTTGGGCCAGACAAATTGGTTAGATATTTCTTTTTTGACATATTTATGACAATTCTATATGACCAGGAATCAAAATGAACATTTTAGAAGATTGCACGTTAGCATTGAGATACACTCAGGAGATGGCTCCTGAATATTCATGGCCCTAATGGGAAACATAGATATTAGCATATATGGAGAAGACTGATTGTACACAGAAATGTTTTGAATCTTTTCTAATTCCTTTGAATACTCTGCCTTGATTACATCACAGCCAGTATTTCGGTGCAGAATAAACTTTCTGCTGAACAAAAGCTTGTTAAACTCAGTAGTCATGATCTATTTCCAAAGTGTAACTGGAATAAGACAGACATATAACTGCAACATAGTTTCTACCAATAGTTCCTCAAGTTGCCCCACTAATCCTGAATACTCCCAGCCTTGGCCTGCAATGCTGCCTTGATTTATCTGGGCATGATGTTGTATAATGGTTGCCTTTAGTGAGGGAGCACCAATGTTTCTTAACTGATTCCCAGATTTCTTTGCTGGATGTTGGCATATCCTTCACAATTTTCCCCCCATTTCCCCAATAATATCCCACAGGGATTCCATAGAATTCATGTCTGGTGAATGTCCAGGCCAATCAAGCAGTTTTACACCATTGACAACTAAGTATCTGCGAGTTGAACATGAATTATGAGCCATTATCTTTGCTGAAAAGTGAAAGTGAAACACGTTTTATGCTGTTGGATATTGTTAATGATAAAATGGTGATATATTTCACTATTCAGTGTATCCAGAACTTTCTTCAGAATTCCGGGACCATTGGGTTTGTGTGTGATTTTATGCCACACTCAGTAATATTTCAACAGTATGACGGCAGTCTGTAAATAATCAAGTCTGTGAGGGCTGTTTCACAGTTGACTGTAATGGCGGTATCTTTCATCTGAGAAACAATTTATTGTCATTCTCCTATGGATACCAAAACATCTGATGATGGATTCGTCTGAGAAGAGTACTATGTTCCAGTCCTGCACCCAAAGGTGTCTGTGTTGCTATGCCAGAGAAATTGCTTTTTGTGTTGTACTTTGTTGAGAAAGAGCTGTCTGCTTGGAATGTAACATCAGATGGCAAAGTGATGTAATCTGCGAGAGATGATCATGTGACTTATACACCTACCAAGATTGCTGTGTAGTCGACTATGCAGGATGTTGAAGTAGTGTACCTCGTACACACTTTTCTAATGTGTCTATCTCCATGTCTTGTACATCTTGGTGTGCCAGATCTACTATAGTAATTA